GACGTCTAGGTCAGGGAGGGCTGTCCAGATGTAGGGGTGCTCTTAAAGAGTCCCAGGTGATTGCAATTGGGGCCAAGCTTGGGAATCAGGGCTTGGAACCTTCAGCTGTGATTAGCTGCTTCCTGCTGTCATACAGATATTTTAAAAAACTGATGAGAGAGAGAGAGAGAGAGAGAGAGAGAGAGAGAGAGAGAGAGAGATGGATTTGTTGTCCCACTTATGCTGCATTATTCATTGGTTGATTCTTGTATGTGCCCTGACCACGGATTGAACCCACAACCTTGGTGTGTGGGGAGGATGCTTTAACCAACTGAGCTACCTGTCCAGGGCCAATATATATTTTTAATTTTTGAAAGTACTTTTATTTTACATTCAAGATCTGGCCTGTATTTCACACTGGCACATATCGGTTTAGATAAGTCACATTTCTGGTATTCAATAGCCATGTGTGGCTAATGGCCATCATATATATGGGTTGGGTCTAAAGCAGTGGTTCTCAACCTTCTGGCCCTTTAAACACAGTTCCTCATGTTGTGACCCAACCATAACATTATTTTCGTTGCTACTTCATCACTGTCATGTTGCTACTGTGATGAATCATAATGTAAATATCTGATATGCAGGATGGTCTTAGGCGACCCCTGTGAAAGGGTCGTTCGACAGCCAAAGGGGTCGTGACCCACAGGTTGAGAACCACTGGTCTAGATCCAGGGACAGGAGAGTGATCCTGGCTTTAAAACGAGGAGAGTTGCTCTAGCTGGTTTGGCTCAGTGGATAGAACATCGGCCCTTGGACTACAGGATCCCAGGTTTGATTCTGGTCAAGGGCATGTACTTTAGTTGCAGGATCAATCCCTGGCCCTGGTGGAACATGTGCAGGAGGCAATCAATTGATGTGTCTCTCTCTCTCTGTCTTTCCCCCTCCCTTCCTCTCTCTCTAAACATCAATGGAAAAATATCCTTGGGTGAGGATTAACAAAAAAACAAAACACAAACAAACAAAAAAATGGGGAGGGTCAAGGGACCCAAAGGGTTGGTTTCCTGGCATGAGGTTATTTCTCTGAGATTCTATATCTATCTATCTACCTCCCTCCCTCCCTACCTATCTATCTACCTATCTGTCTATCTATCATCTATCAATCATCCATGTATCTATCAATCTCATCTATCTATCTATCTATCTATCTATCTATCTATCTATCTATCATCTCTATCTCTCAAGAATCCCTCAGTAAGAGAGAGACACCCATGGGCCCTCTGACTTGATAACCAACCCACCAATAGCTGTCTTTCAGGTGATGGTACTCAGAGAGGGACATCCATCCCTCCAAACCTTTCTAGGCTGTGCAAACTTGGTCAAGTTTCTTAACCCCTGTGCCTTAACTTCCTCATAGGTAGATGGGGACAACAACAGCATCTGCCTCATAGGATAAGGATATTTTAAATGAGTCACTACTTGTAATGGATTTAAACAGTGTGTGGAAGGAAGGAACTATTACAAATATATTCTGTTTAAAGATAAACATTTCCCATGTGCCTCAGATGAGATACTGGCAAATGTCCTATAGGGCAGGGGAGGTTGGGGGTGGGGGGGAGCAAGCAGGCAAGCCAAAGGAAAGGAAAGGAGGTAAATTTATTTATCTTAATTCAGTGGTAACAGGGGAAAGATATAGTGGCCACTGGGATGACTGGGGTATTCTCAGCAGAACAAGGAGAACAAAGACTGAATTTCTAAAATTTTATTTTTCAACCACAGTTTATATTCAACACCATTCTGCACCCATCTCAGATGCACAGCAAAGTGGCCAGAAAACCATGCACCCTACAGAGTGGCCCCTTGCTTCCCACAGCACCCACCTGGCCCCATACTTTCAAGTGTACAATTTTCTATAATACATCATCTGCATATTGTATTTTGTGTTCACACCCCAAGTCAAGTCTCCTTCCATCCCCATTTGTCTCCTCTTTACCTTCTCCTATCTTCTCCCATCCTCTTTCTCTCTGGTAACCACAATACTGTTGTCTGTGTATATTAGGGGTTTTCTTTGCTTGACCTCTTCACCTTTTTCACCCAGCTCCCCAACACCCCACCCCTCTGACAGCTGCCAGTCTGTTCTCTGTATCTATGAATCTATTTCTATGTTGTTTGTTTGTTTTGCTCATTAGATTCCACATATCAATGGGATTGTATGGTATTAGTCTTCCTCTGACTGGCTTATTTAATTTAGCACAATACTCTCCAGGTCCAAAAGCCAAATTTGAAATGAAATAGTCAACAGCTCCATTTTCAGAGCAGTGTTTCAGAAACTCAGGCATCTTCAACTTCTGAGACACTTCACGCTGGTTAGAATACAGCATGTCATCTATGTAATGGATATATGAGGGTCATCTGGTCGACCACCTTATACTCAAGGACTGGAGAGCAACATAGGTCCACACTGGGAGTCTGGGAAAACACTTCTCTGTTAAAAGAAATCATTGCATGACTCATAGGTGAGAATATTTGCTCTTGAAAGTAAAAATATTCCTTATCATAGCATGTGTTACAAGGGAAATTGAGATGGCGTGTCCAGTGTTCAAAGTTTTCCTTCCTTCCTTCCTTCCTTCCTTCCTTCCTTCCTTCCTTCCTTCCTTC